CATCCAGATAATTGCTGTCACCTGCCTTTCCTCCAGCCTCACTCCACACACCTGCTTCCTGTTTCCCTAATTGCTCCTCCCTGTCTATATAAGCCCTCCTTGTCTCATTGTTCTTGTCGGTCCATTGTTGTTTGTCAGCGTTATTTGTTCTGCCAGTCTGCTCGTTCCTCTTGTGTTTTTTTGACTCCCTGGATTTTTGGATTTTGGCTCCCTGCCTTTTGGATTTATTTTTGTTCTTCCTCCAAATAAAGGATTTTTCTTACATACCCACTCCTGTCTCTTGTCATCCTGGGTTCTGCATCTTGGGTCCTAACCTCCTGCTCCTAAACGTGACAATCCAGGATGTTCTCAAGACCTCGGAGTTCTTCCTTGCCTGGACTGCAAACACTAATGCCCACTCTGTCTGAGTAGCTAACAGATAATGTAGTCTCCACATTTGTGAGGAACTGCTTTCTTTCTTATTTATTCTGCACTTTAAATAATGCTTAAACCCCCAAAATTGATTTTTACCTGTGAGAGAACAGGAACCCTGTCCAGCCATCATGAAGAAGAGATTATTCAGCAGAAATTATTAGATGTTATCTTCAGGAGCTCTCAAAACCGAGCCAGAATGTGACGGTGATTTCACAGACTTCTTGTTAAACCACCACCAACACCGAAGTGAGGTTTCAGATGGTTTGCTTGTTAAAACCAGTGCCAATCAAACGTTAAAACCAGCTGATGAACAGGCCAGAGCAGTAATTAAACCAAAACGAATTGCTAGCTCACTGGTATAAAGTTATGCGGGTGAGCATCAAGGATGGACTGGTGGCTCTCGTGTCTGGGGCCGGGTGTTCTAATCTGATGTGGCTCACTTCTAGTTACTGAAACAAGCACATCGGAGCTTTTTTTCCCCAGAGTGTGACTTACAAGCCATTCATCCTTACTAGAGACCACTGCAAATGTATTGAATAAACGAGTGAACCACACCTTAAATCCTTTATTTAGAAACAGGATGTATTTGCGTCTTCTTAAACTGTGTATGTCGGACTGCTCCGATGACTGACTTAGCTTTACACTGAAAAAAAACCAACACATTTTTGGATTGTTAAATGTCACTCAATAAAATAATCTAAAATGTGACTAAATATATTACAGACAGAAATAAATAAATGAGTTAATTCTACCTATTTTATTTAATTAACAAATCTAATCCAAACGTAATGAGTTAAACTTACTCAAAAATATTGGTTCATTACTGATGGATTACCTATTTTATTTAATTAAAAAATAGAACAATTGTACATGTTGGCCAGAATAGCTGTTCACAGTTCCATGCTGTATTTGCTTTCCATTTCAAATATTCATGTATCTAGAGTTACAGAAGCCCTTAAATTTTGAGGGAACATTTTCAGCATGTCTACAACAAATCTTGAGCAACAGTGAATGCAAGTTCAGTTCAGCTTTTGTAAACTAGAAATATCATATTTTTGTTGTTTTTGTTTGAATACATTCCTACTCATACCAGCATTACTTTGGACATCAGTATAGCTCAGAAGGTAAAGGTGGTCCAGTAAGCAGAAGGTTGCAGGATTGATCCCACCTCTGGCATGTGTGTCCAATTTAGTTTGTTATTTTCTAGCTTAGAAAATTAGGTAATATTTACTAATGACTGTCCGTTAGATTTCACCCAATTCTTTTAGGTAATTCTAAACTTTGAAAATAAGGTACTATTTACAAACATATATGGGGTAGAAATTAACTAAGAAAATTGTGTACAAATTGTTACCTCAATTTTATTGGGCAGTTTCTATAGGTTGCTTTTTACAGTGTAAGTATAATAGATCCCACCCCACGACCAAGCTCTGTCTTTGGGTTGTGGCCAGATTATATATTCACATATGTAAAAAGACTCGCCAGGCTAATGAACCACAGCATTAAAGTAATGGAAAGTACAAAACATAGTAAAAAAAAAAAAAGCTAGAGAGTGAATCAGATCAACAGAAAACTTATATCTTCACCACAACATCTTTAGATTTCACAGCACACAAAGAGCTGCTCTGTATTTGTTTCAGAGCTCCCGCCTCCTTCACACTGAGCTGATGATGTGACCCAGAGTCATGATGTAACTCCAGGAAACAGATTTTCTGAATAGAAAGTCGTTTTTTCTCCTCATGCTGTAAAATGAGGTTGCAGCTTGTCAATGCTTCTGTTACCTTGTTGATAGATCAGATGACAACTCAAAAAAAAAGAGGCTGATGTAAGTAGGGGAAATGGAGGTAAGAATCTTATTTTTTTTTGTGCTTTAAGTATCAACAAAAGAATTATAATCAAGGCGTGTTCTAAGCTGTGCAGGAACTCCGAATATACATGAATGATGTGTATTGTGTAGTAAAACTTGGGTGGGCTTGATGATCAAGAGTTTGAGTGCTTGTGAGGCTGTGATATCTCTCTGACTAAACATGGAAAAGTGCCTCGCTGCTCTTTTTACTCAGCCCTGTGGGGATTTAGGATTACTGACTTGAAGATATAAGCCATCTCAAAAACATATGCTGCAGCTTTTGTACAAGAATAAATGTGTTGCTTGTTTTTGACACCACCAGCTAAATAATAGATATAATACCATCCATCCATCCATTTTCCGAACCCGCTTGTCCACGTGGTATTGGGGGGGGGGGGGGGGGGGGGGGTGCCTGTCACCTATCTCCAGCAGTCAATGGGCAACAGGGCTACACCCTGGACAGAGTGCCAGTCCATCGCAGGGCTACACAGAGACACACAGGACAAACAATCGCACACACGTACACACTCACACCTAAGGACAATTTGGACAGACCAATCAATCTAACAGTCATGTTTTTGGACTGTGGGAGGAAGCCGGAGTACGCAGAGTGAACTCACGCACAGGGAGAACATGCAAACTCCATGCAGAAAGATCCCAGGCGGGGAAGCGAACCCAGGATGTTCTTGCTGCAACGCAACAGCTCTAACCACTGCGCTACCGCTCAGCTAAATATAATACCCATTTACAAAATTATCAGAATCAACTTTATTGTAATTGAACAAGCACCCTGGCACAAGGCAATTTGACTTCACAGCACAACCCTAACCCATAGTTAAAACACATGGTTAAAACAGGTTCACATGGGAAAAGATGAGAGAAATGGAGGTGTCAGCGGGGAGAGAAGAAGGAGAAAAACAGGCCTCCTCACCTTGCCTCACCACAGGAAAAGTTGGAGTTCAAGAAAAAAAAACTCAAACATAAAAGCACATATTCAGACAATAACATAAAACCACAAGTGGTGGGTGGGGGGACGGGGCTCCCCTTTGCACCAGAATGGTTCAAACACATCTAGCGCATACAGAAGTATATTTATTTTTATTCTAAATGCTTTATGATTTTATGACTAAAATGTGTTGTTTAAAACCAGCCTCAATTAAAACACATCTGCTAGTTGTCAACATTTTGCTATATTAGACTTTAATTCAATTCAATTCAAGTTTATTTATATAGCGCCAAATCACGACAAGAGTCGTCTCAAGGCACTTCACATAATAAACATTCCAATTCACAGTTCATTAAGCCAATCAGAAATAATGTGTCCTATATAAGGAACCCAGCAAATTGCATCAAGTCACTGACTAGTGCCAGTGACTATACAGCAAACCTCATACTTTAGAGTAGCAGGTTTTGATAGGTTACATGAAAAGTCAAATTTGAAAGAGGAGGACCAATGTGCTGAGTAATAAATTGTAGACTTACAGTAAGTTTCACATAAAAGACTATTTCTGCACTATGAAAAGTGTGAATAAGTTCACTCATTCGTCACACTATTTTTGTCATTTCAATCACCAGCTTTGGTAGTTTAGGAAGCAGAAACATTTTGGAATATAACTCTTCAAAGATGACCGTCAGTGGTGTTATAGATCATAGATTTATCGTGTCTTAACATTTATCTTTAAGACTAATTAATATCTCACTCCCAGATTACATTATTGAGATGGGGACTGTTGTTGTACTTCATTTAATTGCTAAATTCATAAAGACATGAGGCTACCAAAAAAAAAACTCATAACTGTTTTCTAATTACTCTACATTGGCCTGTCCTCATAGTTTGGTTTTACCATCCTGGAGGTTTATGAGGCTTAATTTCTGGGTTGTAAATTTTTCGACGGTAGAAATAAGTTTAACGACTACATTTGCTCTGATTGCAGAGCTTCTTGCTGGATTGTGCTGTTTACTAAAAGTGAAAAACTAATTTAGAATGAGAACACATTAGCTTAGTGCTGTGTGCACAAACAGATTTATCATCTCAGAAAACATTACATACAATAATTAATGCAATAGAATCAAACAAATAGGCTTCAAAAGGACAAAATGCAAAAAAATAAACATTTTTCTTACTGTGTGCTTTTTATATTTGTTGCACAGATTTTTTTCTCATAAGAAGTTTCAAAGTCGTTGAAGTCATTGAACATGTTAAATATCCAAATCCAATTCTTATTTTCTTCTAAAAACACTATTTTAAAAAAGTACCTTTTTATTTGAGCAGCAAGCTTGAATTTTGTTGATTTTTGTTGATTTCATGTGAAATGCTATTTAAACTTTGCTCTCTTCCTACCAAAGAGCTTCGTGTTTTGATTTTTTTTATGTTTTTAGTGCAAAATCTAACTAATAAAACCTTAAATGAAGATTCAGTTTCAGTCAAGTGTTTTAGTTATAGGGGTGCTCAAGTGCTTACGTACTTGTATACTATGTATGATGGTTCTTAGACATTCTATAAACTGTTTATTTTTACACAGTTTGTTTTGGTCTAATCAACTCACTGTAAACAAACTGACCTACAGAAGTCTTAAACAGAAGAATGAATAACAATTTTGCTAACAATGAAACCGCATGCTGCACACAAACAAATGTACCTTCCAGTGGCGCTATTAGTACCAGCATCTCTTGATCTGAACCAACTCTACTGAATGTAAAATCAATCGCTCTCTCTTTCTTTCTTTTTTTTATTGGGTAGCCATGGATGCACCTGTGAACCTGACTGCCAGTGAAGTCAACCACCGCAGCGCTCTCATTTCCTGGCAACCACCGGTCGCAGAGATTGACAACTACATGCTCACCTACAAGACACCTGATGGCAGCCGTAAGGTAAGAAACTTGTTCTCTGATTTTACTCGCACTAACTCTTGTTTTACACATGTTCGCAGCTGTTAACATCCAAAAACAAAGGGGATAACTTAAAAATTCGGCACAATCTGTGCAGCAATCAGCAAAAATGTCTATGAACAGAAACCAGGTTTTGCTAATGGTACATGACATTATAACAGGTAAGTAAAATGCAAATATAATTATTTTGATATTTTGCCACTTCAGGCTTTAGGCTTTATCTTTCAGTCTGGTAATCCCCTCCAAGTGCTTGCAGACACTCTCGCTCACAGATTGCTGCACACACGAGGGAGCCACACAGTGAAATTGCCCGTCCTGCAGAGGTATTACTTTAATGAGCCTCAGTAGACATTGTTTATTTTGATTGAGGGTTTTGATGTGGCAGAGTAATGGTAATGAGTACATTAGTAAGAGATGTGTGCTCAGAATACACACACGCACACACACACACACACACACACACGCTCAAGCGCGTCTCTCAAACACACATTATTATTCTGACCTTGTGTGTGCTCCATCGATGTGTGTTTCACCATCGGGTGTCACTAATGTTCAATAAATATGAAGGTAACATTTTAAATCATCACGTTTTAAGCATTTCAGTTTCAAAAACAATCAGAATTTCTTGTTGTCTGCCTTTTTGTCATTTTAGAGTAATTTCTTCCAAACAAACCTTTATAGCATGAATTATCATCTAATGTTGTAACACGTCGTAGTCTTAACATCCCTATGAATGCTTTTATTAAAACAGAAATTAACTTGCCATTTTGAGCCCTGCCAACCATATCAGTGTAATTCACAAGCATGGTTCAGATACGTATAAAAATACATAAACATTTGATTCAATTCTTGTGTGTGACGATAGGTTTTGTCTTTGTTAGTCCTGCAGTGTCAACACTCACAAGTGGTACCCCAAAAGTGAACAGGGTGTTTTGTTTTTAGTTTTTCCAAAAAAAAAAAAAAAGTCTTTTGCAGGATAAAAACTCATCTAAATAATTGGATCCGGTTGGAAAAAGAGGTACGCTCCTTTTAGTTGAAATAACCTTCAAGCCAGCAGTCACCTGCTACTGTGAGAGTAGTAAAATTATTTGGTGTTAATTGGTGACAATCACTAATACCTGCCGCTGCATGGATTTAAATGAGAGGGAAATCCAAGCCACAACTATAAATGAAAAGCTGTTTCCTGAGTATTCTAGCATTGCTCTTTGGAAACAGGAGAGCACATATGGTAATGCTACAGGCCTTCGAAGGGTCTGTGTGCAGGGAACAACAAGAATGGTCATGACATGTTGTCTGTTGACAGGCAGGTTCTTGTCTGACTTATCAACAGAAAGTCAAACATTTCACATTTTGCTCAGTTTCACAGTTATTCCTTCCTAAAACTTCTCAATAATGATCTCAGTCAGAGCAAACAAAGCTTGGTTTTCACCAGAAGCAGTTTGTTAAATAAAACAGCAGCCTGGTACCACATCCCTGCTGCTGGACTCACTCTGCAGATAGTTAATAAATTACTCAAGCTCTAATAAAATTCACTTGATTAAGTTTAGAGCCTGGTGAGTCTTACTTATGATTATAACTGCAAATCCACATCTGTCCAAAGCTGTTAGGGTTTTGTTTTCGACTCCAGAGCGTTTGCTCAGTTTTCTCCTCCAATCGGCTTTACTCTCAAGCTGACTTAAACACACCTTTAGAGATTCTCATATTTTCTGTAAAAAAAACGGTCTCATCTTTTCCTGTTCTTGATACCCTGAAAACAGCTAATTAAATAATTAGAAAAATACCTCAGATGTGATATTCAATTTTGTTTTATAGTTTACTCAAATGATTGCTGCCATAAGCAGCCTGAACAATTCCTACAC